TTGTTGTAAAGATAGTACCTAAAGGTATTAAGTTAACTTTAGTATTGCATTCAATATATGCTGTTTTTTCTAACAGAATTTGAAATTTAGTGTAAGCAATATCAAGTATATTTGTAATAATTTGTTGTAAAAGTATGCTATTTGCAGAGCATATAATCTAGTAATTATTGTCTTTAATATAACTTTTGCATTATGAACATGTTATATCTGAATATATATTAGGATGGCTATTGTTTAGATTTTTGTAAATAGGTAGTTTATCTAAAAGCATTTTGATTTTGAATAACTTTAATTAGAATTTTTAAGAATATATAGTTTTTATGATAGGTCTGTCTTTGTAGCTAATAAATTGAGTTGTTATTTTTCAGTAAATTGGGTATTGTTTTTAAAATTGCATTTAGCTTTGTAAATGCCATTTTGCTAGTGCTTGAGCATTTTGTAAGTGTCTGATAAGTTTTTTAATATTGTGTTCAATAAATGCTAATTGTATTGATAGGATGTATATATTGTAAAAAATTTGGCTATAAGAGATATTTATAATAAATATCTTGTTTATAGAGTTGTATTATTTTAAATTAGCCTTATATAATAAGTAAGTTGTAGAAAGATATGTTTGTTTGTTGCTATAGTTCTGACTTTAATTTGTGTATTCAGTTTGAAGTATTGTGTAGTGCTTTTGTTTAATAAACAGGTAATTATATTTGTTATTAAATTTTGAGTAAAAGTTTAATGTTTTATATATAACTCAAGTGTACAGTAGTTTGAACAAACAGTTAGTAATAGTTGGTTGCTATATATAGAACATGTATATTTGATAGCCAGATTGCATTTTGGACTAATATTGTATAGGAATAGTCAATAATCTTTTATGTTGTTGTTAGAAGCTTGTTGGGTATTTTGGTTGTATAGATACTAACTTGTATTTGTTTTTTCTTTGCATTGCCTGATATATGTTTCATAATGTTGTTTATATAAATAAAATTAAGATAAAAATTTTTTAAGAATATACATCTTACTTCTTTTTTCTCAAGAAGTTGTGTTGAGATAATTGTTTTAAATTTAATATAAATGCTAGGTTTTTCTTTATTGGCTTTTTTATATTCTGAAAGCTTATATAAAGTTATTTTTTGCTATCTATTTAAATTAATATTATAAAGTCTTTAGGTATAGTAATTTTACAGATTTTTGTTAAGTAGAAGGATAGTAAGCACTCTTTGCATCATATTAATTGATTGTTTTTTTTGTTGTGTTTCTAGTAGACAATAGTAATGTTTCAGTCATTTGTTTTGGTAATTTTGCTAATTGTTATTTGTAATATAAAAGTGATTATTTATTTTGACTTAATGGCTATTATTAGAAATATAGTAAATAAGTTAGGCTTTATATTGTAAGTAGTCTATGCAGGTTTTTGGCTACAGCAATTATGTTAGTTATTGTTAGAAACTATTTATATTTTCTGCCTCTTGATATTTTTTGTATATTATGATATAAGGCTTTCTAGTTAAGTGTTTAATTATTGTGATAGTTGTAAACTTGTTTAATAACTTGAATATTATAGTTGTTAAGCTGCTTTTTTATTTGGTATATATAAGACATATTGGTAAGAATGAGATTAATGAAGTTGTCTGGATGAACTTTTGGAATTGACTATGAGTTAGCATTGTTTATAATCTGTATTTGTAATTTATATAGACTAAAAACTGTTCTTGCAGTTGGTGTACTGTGATGAGATGTTGAAAACACAGATATATTGAGCAAAATTGATATATTACAGTTTGTTGCATTTTGAAGTTATTGAGGATTATCTATAGTATAGATGGGCAAATTATATTTATTATAAAATGATAATATAAAAACTATCAATTTTAAGTTAATTTAAGCTATAAACCTAATTCTGACCCTAACTCTAACTCTAATCTAATTTTAATTAAACTTAAATTAGTTAAAATAATTAGTTATTTATATTATAATTTTATAATAATTATATTTGCCCACCTATATTATAGTTTAATTATTATTGAAGTCTTATAGCAAGTATTGATTAATTGAAGTTAAAATAGTTAATAGCTTTGATAAAGTTAAAAATATATTGTAATTTTAGATGTTGTATGTCTGATAAAGTGTGTATATTTAATGGTAATGAAAAATAGAATACAGAGTATATCTAAAAAGCATTGCTTTGCTTTTAGCAATACTGGTATATTAATTTGTGATTGTTTTGTATTGTTGTTTTGTGATATATATGTTCTGTATATAATATGCAAAATGAGTAAATATAATTGTATTTATAATAGTAATATATAAGCAAACTACTTAAATTAGACACTAAATATACTAGTTGTAACTTTTTATATAAGAGAACTTCTAAAATTTGTATGCTTATATAAACTTGAATAAGCATTATTTTTTAAAAACAGAAACTTTAACTTCAAAAAAATAAAAAATTAGAATGATTACATATATTGCTAAGTTCAATTAGTAAATTATATAATTTTGTTATATGACTTTATTAATTAAGTTTAGTAATATAACTCTTATTATAGTTCAACACTGCTTTTATAAATATAAAATATTATTAGCTAAAACTATATGTTTATTTAATGATAGAGCTATAAAAATTTAAAGCAATTTATAAAGAATCAATTTTTACAATAAATCATAACATAAAACAGTTAAATTTTTAACTCTTGTAGTTCATTATTACTTATTTAAAAAATATTAGAATTATAATTTTATTATTAATTTCAATATTTAAATTTATTGTTTTAGTAAATACAAATTATTTTATTAAATAATCAGTAATTATTTTATTAAATAATCAGTAAAAAAGCGTTTTATCTACGCAATATCTAATAAATAAATGATACCCAAAATAACATGATAAAAACACTTTAAAAAAATCCCCTTTTTTTTTAAAAAAAAAATCAAATTTCTAAAAAAAAAGTATTATGCACAATGCTATACAAATATTCTATAAAAGACCTATTCTGACAATCATCAAATACTACGTATCTAAAAACACTGTTTATACTCAATATTCGGTCTTCTTTGTGCTGCCTAAAAACAAAATTTAATTAATAAATAAAACCTTCGAATGTTTGACTTTATCGATAAATCCAACTTTTTTTTCTTATTAATTTTTAAGAATGGAAAGTTACGACCTTTTGGAGTTGAAACCTTTAATCAAATATTAAATGCTTTTATTCATCAAAAGAAAACCAATCCTGTTTAATAGATCAAAATAAATATAATCAATGTTTAACTGTACTTAAAAATTACAACGACTTACAGAACCCAAAATTTAAATACAGTATTGGAAAACATGATTTTGAAGAACTTTATACGATTAAACGACCTGGGGACGTAAGTTTGTCCCGTCGAAAACTTTTAATTCGATGTAGATTTTTCTTAAGTTTACATTATGTGAAATTTTTTCATATGTCTTAACGTGCATTTTTTTAGTGTTTATTTTTTATTTTATTTTATTTCATTTGTATTGCGCAATTTTTATTAATTATGTGAATTTAATATTATTTATTTGTATTATTAATTATGCGATTTTTTTTTATTTAAAGCATTAAAATATTTTTTTACTAATATAGCAAAATTTTATTATAAAGAATTTTTATAAGTTTTTGATTTCTTTATATAAAATTTTGTTTTTTTTCATGCAAGAACTTAAATAATATAATTAATATTATTGCTTGGGTTATATAATTTATCGCTTGGGTATATAATTTTAAATTTTTTAAAAATTCACCGATTGAGAAATGACCTAGGTCGTTTCAAAATTCAAGAATGACCTAGATCAATCCGGAATCGACCTAGATCGTGAAATGACTCAGAACATTCATACTTTGTCCATACATGTCCATTGACAACGCTTGCTTCACCATCATGTGTTAAGGTTACAATTACATGAAATCTACAAACTTATACAAATACAAAATCTTACAGCTTTACTGATCACTTATGCCATACTGATACTGGTCTATGGTTCAAGTTTATATTAGGTAGCATTAGGCAGTCGCTAAGCCGTGCTTCATTATGACTGACTTAGTTCCTGATAAAAACCTCATGCTTGAAATATCAAACTGAAACGACTCACCGTTTAGGGGATATATATTAAATCTATTTGTAAATAAATTTGTCAATTCCCGTAAACACGATATTAACATTTCCTTTTTCATTTACATATGAGCATAAGAAGCCCAAGATTATACGTAACCCTACAATATCACACGAACAGTATTCGAATAAAATTGTTTCGCTCTTCTTAAAAGACTTTGTTATACTAAACCTCGTCATATCGAATACACATACACACGTTGTTATTGGAATTAAAATGAACATTACTTCGCATTACTATTCCAAAAAAATAGTGATCATATTAAAAATGTCTCGTTAATTTAATTGAATGTAATTTAAAAATTCCAGGTTTTTTTAATTATTATGAGAGATTACGACAGTTTAAAGACATAAACTCACGTATCGTGATAGATAATACTTTTTTAACATCTCTACACGATAAAATTTTGCACTGCCCTGTGGCGTACAGCTTGTTCTCATATTAGGCGTCATAATCACACACCTATATTTGAGTGTAACGAAACGTACTGATGCAGTATATTTGTGGTGGATTTAGATATGACATAACGCCACTTTTTTTTAGAAGCATAAAAATGTTATTCCAAGTGAACCAACAATAAGTTATATTTAGAACGATTAGAATAATTAGGATAATCGTGGTGTAATTACATACTGATGCAAAATAACGTCATGTTATAAATAGATCAAAAATTCCAAGAGAACCGAACAATATCCATATATGGTAGTTAAACATTTTTAATGGACTGTAATAATTTAGAAACTAAAGTTCAGGGATAAGAAAAATATAAATACAACGAGTTTCGGATTAATTCCAAATCATCAATTCAGTGTATAAAGAAAAAAAAGCAAATATTTAAAATATAAAAGCTTATAACAACAAAAATTTAAACATGAGCGAATATAAATCTAGCTTTGTTAATCGTACTTGCGTCTTTATAAATTCCGGAAATGATTCCATGATTCAAAGTCAGGTGATCGAAAATCCGCAACTTATCAAACTTCCATTCCCACCAGAAATTAATCCACATGATTTAGTTATTTTTCACCCCGATGGTCGTGTTCCTAAACCTCTTAATGCCTTTATGATTTATCGAAAATTGTTTTCTGAAACTGCTCGTGCAAGCGGTTATAACTTACCAATGAACATTATTTCTCTAATGGTATCTCGATCATGGGAACAAGAACCTGATAAAGTAAAAAATGAATATAAAAGAATCGCAAAAGAAGCTTTCAACTATCGTAATGAATTATTTCCTAAAATAAAACCTCAAAAGAAAAGAGACCAATGGAAAACCGTTTCATTTGATAAACCTTCTGTTCGTAAAGTTAGAAATCCTAAACCTATGAAATCTACCAATAAATCCACAAAACGTCAAAAATTTGAACTGCCCACATCTGAACACCAAGTTATTCCTAATAACAATTTATTATCTCACAAATTTCTTGATGATTTAAGTGATATTGATATGAATTCACCGATTTTTAGCCTTGATTTATTTACTGACTGGGCCGATTTCTTTAACAATCAAAATACCTATCCTAGTCCTGACTTATCAATATTTTCCAGTGGCAACAGTTCTCCTAGTTCAAATGATCTTGATTTCCCAATTCAAGAAGTTGATGATGATATTGTAAATAACCTTTTATATATTAATGAAAACCAGTCTCCAATCTATGATAGTCAATACGGACTCGGAATTTTCGATAACGAAATTTCCGAAATAAATTTACATAATCCACATGA